CAAAATGGTTACAAGGTTGATCCTAGGGACTGAGCCAGTGCTGAAAAAGTTAAGTAATTTAATGAAGCTATTGTTGTTTATAATGAGTTGTATATCTACAAATACTCTAATGTGGCACTGATTAAAATCAATATTAGTGATTTGACAAACCCATTTTATAACACATTTCATCGAGATGAAACTGAAGTCAGCAGTGAAGATTTAGACGACATGGAAAACAAAGATTCTTGTCATATAAATGATGTCATTGATGAATTGAATGATGAAGACTTCATTACTGATGAAGCCAATGAGTCTGAATTTACAGGGGAAATAACAGGTTGCTCATATGTAAGCAGTAAAATGAACTCTAGGCCTGCAAGACAAAAGGTGAATAGAGATTCAAAACAACAAAATTAAAAGCTTGGGAATGTGTACAAGGTGTCAGGCAAAAAGGTTGCCATGCAGGATACACTGGACATACTAGTGATCAATACTTGGCAAGAACCAGAGGATGTTGTTGAAACACAATGTCAAGTGTGTCAAAGATGGTTCATATCCATTAAGAAAAAGGAAACTCATTCATGCAAAGGTGCTAGAAGCAGCAGCGACCTACTCTCTTATTGATGCTGGTTGTGTGGATTTTATTCATATGAGGAAACAATCAATTCCTGATGTCAAGCCCAGAAGCTCTTTGGAGAAAATCATTGCTGATCACTAGGGCTGAGACGAAGTATTCAAATATTTTGAAGCTGACAGAGGCTTCGGATCTGCCAATGCCCATTCGAATGTTCCCACATTTATTTATACGCATGTGCTATGCATACAATTTTTGATTAGAAAAAATTGTGTCAGATAAGGGCACGGTTGGAAGTAGTTGTAAAAAGGTTTCGGACGTATGGAGTTTTTATAAGAAACTTCACGACCATAGGAAAGCCATGTGCACTAGTTGTAAAAAAGAATTTGCCTACTTAGCCGGGACAACAAACTTATGGAGTCTCCTCGCATCGAAGCACTCGACTCTTTACTGTCCGGACATCGAGACAACCACAATGGAGAGCAGGAAGACGCCTACCCTTGATAGATTTGTAAGGCATGCGAAGTGCAATGATACACGTGCAAAGAATATAACAGACAGAGTGACTCAAATGATCGTTCAAGACCTACGCCCCATTCGAACTGTTGAATGCAGTGGTTTTCGTAACTTAATGAAGTACTTGGAGCTGGGATATGTCTTACCAAGCAGAAAACAATTTACTGCTGATATCAACCTTAAACATGCAATGTGCAAACAACGTCTAAAAGAAAGGCTAAGTGAAGAAGCAGTGTTTATATCGTTAACCATGGATATATGGACGAGCATCGCAACAGAAAGTTACATCACCGTAAACGTGCATTACACTGATAACAGCTGGGTGCTGACAATACTATGTAATGCTACTAAATAAAAGCTTCCAGATTCCAGAAGGCCTGTAATCAAACTCTAGGAAATCTTTCTTGCTCAGACTACACAACTGCTGTCCAGTCAATATTAAACTTTGACAGGTCAAGTGCCTGAAGGTCAAACTCATGTACAATCAAACTGTAACAAATTAAATACATACATTGTTATAATATAACAAGTATACTCAATTGTAAGAAGCTTCAAAGCTTCGGTAGTTATCTTGCAAGAAGCTTCGAAGCACTACTTACAATATTCGTTTCAGCCCTACTGATCACATAGCAATTAAAAAATTTAATGAATATACATGAGAGAGATTTTCACCCAAGTGGGCTAAGCAACGAACCTATGGCAATATCTATGGACAAAGGTATATTGAGTGTTTCAAGACTGACATTGACAAGATGTTCATGAAAAGGTGTCATGGACAACTGCAACAATATGGGCCCAGGTCGTATGTTGGAAACCTTGCTTTGGATATATCCCGATAGGTTGGACCTCCCATTGCAGACTTAAATTTGTCAACGTGTCACTGCCTTGGTAGTGCAGTACAAGTTGCATGGGTAAATTCAGACTGTTTTCACAGGGGCATTCAGAATCCTTTTAGAAGCACTTTGATAAACATAGTTGCTGAATCAGACTTCACGATTTCACCTATAGTGGTTTTGGCAAAATTCAACATCATTCATATGGGCGACAAGTAAATTGCCACTTATCCAACTGATGCTAAGGTTAAGTCATTCATCTCTCAATTGAAGAATAAGCATAAAACGCAAAATAATATGAGAATGCAAAGCATCAATCAAGATTAAACTATTGGTTAAGTCCCTTTGTTTACTGCCAGGTTTCATACTGTCTTGTACTGTTCTGGTAGTACATTTAATCACTTATAGTTTCATCATTTGTTTCTGAAACTCAAAAACAAATACACAGATTTATTTCTCTTGACTAGCTAAACCCTAAAAGCACCTTTGGATGTTTCTGTATCGACACTTTTCAAGTTGGTGCTAAAGCACATTACCCTGACTCATTAATATTTGAAAAACTGTATGCCTTCAAATATGATCCAATTTATTAAAAAAAAAATTTAAATATCTGTTTTACAAAAAAGTTTTCTATGTTTTAGTTGAAAAAAATGGAGATGTTTGTATATCAATACTTCATGATCCTGGTGATGATAAATATGGATATGAAAAAGCTTCAGAAAGATGGCTTCCTGTCCATACTGTTGAAACCATCATGATCTCTGTAATCTCCATGCTTGCTGATCCCAATGATGAATCTCCCGCAAATGTGGATGCTGCAGTAAGTAACATGATACTTACAGTACTATGTAAGATATACTGTAAAAATTTTCACAAATCACAAAACTAATTTGCAATAGCCTTTCTTAAAATTCTAATTATTTTGTATCATTTTAGAAGTAGAAATTGAAATGTGTGAACTGTTATGTTCTGCAGGATTATTGAGATATTGATTACTATGTTTAAGTTTTAAATTGTGTATAGCCCATTCTAAAAAAATTCCTAAGTTGCCACAGCATGATAATGGTGTAATTGATTTGATTTATAGACTTTTAGTAGTTATTTTCTCATCTGTGATGTTTAATTAAATACATGTGACTCGTGCATGAAGACACCTACTACCATACTTCAGTATTTTGGACAAAATATTGCCATAGGTAACATAAGTTAAGTTTATGTTAACTGCAAATGTAATCACTTTATATAATATAAATATAAAACAGGGCAGTGACACCTAGGCAATTTTCTTAGATCTTATGTTAAAGAAAGGCCAGTTCATCATGACTTTTAACACTTTCACTATGGGCATCTTTTTGTGCACATATCATGAGGTTTTAGTGAGTTATATTCAAAATTTAATTCAATTACTTTCTTATCATAGTATATGAACAAGTTTAGCATAAAAATTTAACTAATGATAATCTAAATTTTAATAATATATGTCTTAAGTTTATAATTTTATAAGGTAATATTAAGGAATAATCCTGAATTTCCCCTAGTATAAAACTTGTGACATTTGCTTTAGGCATCCCATCTTTAATTTAGTTACCACCTCTCCAAGAAGTACAAAATTTAATGTAAATTACTTATTATAATGTTGTCATTGTTATGTTGTGAATGGAGGTAAGATATTGTATCAGAAATTAAGATTTTCCAAAACAGAAAGTGTATTTCCAGTAGATACTTCCGCTCACATTTCTCGCTCAGCCTCCCCACTTCCAGTACTGTGATGTAATTATTCTGACCAATCTCAAAGTGATTAAAGAGTGCAAATGTGGAGAGAGCCCTGGTTACAATAGGGGTCGTGTCATGCTCCTATTGGTGGAGAGCTGCAGCATAATAATTGACATGTGGATATTCAGAAGTGGGAGGTGGAAGGCTAGTGGTAAGTATTGAAAATTTGTACCAATAGATGGCAGTACTAACCAAGAAAAGCTATTTTGTGAGAGGAGGTATGTATTGGAAATACATTCTCAGTTTAGTAAAATATTAACTTTGACAGTGTACAATTTTCCATAGAACTTGAAGTCAATAACACTTTTATATTCCTCAATGTTCTTGTTCACAAGAGCACAAGTTTAGAAAAGTTGACTACTGCTGTTTATCGGAAGAAGACTCGCAAATAAATATCTAAATTTCTGTTCATGCCAAACAATAGCTGTCTAAACTGGGATTATTAAAATACTAAAATCTAGAGATACAAGTATTTGCTCCTTGTTTTACTTAGATGAAGAACTTGGACATCTTGAAAAGATTTTCAAGAATAATGATTATCCAAATAAAACAATTCATGTGGTTGACTTGTCTGAACTAGTAATGAACCACAACCTGACAATCACAACAAAAGGGAAAAAAAGCATTTCTTCTTTATATACAAGGCTTAGGAGAAAAACTTCATGGGATAAGGAATAGACTTAACATCACCATAATTTTCGTAAGTCCTCCTACACTACACAACAATCTTATGAAGGTAAAATCCCTGGTTTCTAGTTCTCTTACAAAGATTTTGGTTTGTAGTACTCGGTGTGAGTGTAATAAACATTACATTGGGGAAACACAATGTCCATTACAGGTAAGGTTGAAAGAACACCAAAGAGATATTAATAATGTGCTGTAAACACATCAGCTATAGCTTTTCACATTCAGTAAAACGACCATATAATAGACCAAAAAATACAAAATTAATAGACAGAGAGAAAACACCAAATGGAGAAATATCAAAGAAGCTATTGCCATCCAAGCACAAAACAGTGAACCACCAGTGGGTGTTAATCAAAACAATGACCAACAGTTAATCAATACTGCATGGGCACTACTTATCAAAAACATAAAACATATTATTTTTTTTGTGGTTTGGATATAAAATTAAACCTATAACTTTACAATGTATTATTTGAAATATGAAAAATTCCTTTATTTTTATTTCTCTATATAAACCTATAATTGTATTTTCATTGTGTTTATTATATTGAAGCAATTGATTTATCTTCTATATTTATCATAATTCTGTGTTTAATAACTTTAAGACCAGATGTCATTTATTGTAATGATTGTTGCCTAGATACTTATTTTAAAGCAGTGTTCTGCAGTTAAATGAATTTTTATTGCTCAGTCATTGTTGCCCAATGAAGGCTCCAATATTGGGCCAAATCCTTGCAAATAAAAGTATTTTAATGTAGAGAAAAGTCCATGTATAATTCTACATATGACTTTTCTAAATATTGGGGATTAACATTATTTGAAAATCATTTTGTTTATGCAAATAAGCAATACATATGACAGCCGCAGCCAGTATAAAGTTATGGTGTAACAGAGTGCATCAGAGCTACATTTTGAGATGATTGGCTTTTTGTAAGTAGTATGCCACAAGGAAGTGATCCCTTGTACTTAATGTCATAGGAAAATGAAGGAATATGGAACTAGTTAAGGCACCATGACCATCCAGAAAGAGATCTGCAACAAGTCATACCACAGTTGTGGTAAGCTAAGTGTGGCAACTTATAACAGGTGAGAATCCATGGTCACAAAGGTTGGTGGCAAAAGCCGTCTATATGTCCCAGGCAGCAGTATACAGCATAATCAAGAAGGATCTCCATCTGGAAAAGCTGTACAAGTTATGTACACAAGGTGCTTCCATGACATATACATTCAACTGTTGCATACATCGAAGCAACTGGAGAATACAATGGATAGAGATGTATTCCATACAAAGACATTCCAGTCAAATTGTTAGGTGCAGCATTTGTGGATTTCTGTGCAATCATACTGTTGAAAGAGACATTGGGAAACCATCGTTCCCACATGCTAAATGTTTTACAGAAAGCAAAGGAGGAGAAGTGGTATGCTTTAAATGCGACAGCTTTTGTGATAGAACTTTCTATAATAGGAAGTTAATAGGAACAAGGCTGTAGGATATTGTCAAGATGCATGGTCATCAGAAAGAACATGACTGGATGGTTGCAGCATGGGCTGTAATGAGGTGATGAGGATCCAAAATTGTTTCATAATGTTCTCAACCTCTGTATTATAGAAAATGATATCTAGACTTTGAATTATGTTTTACTATGATTGATTTTTAATTTAATACTCTTAATTTTTGCATCATTTGCAAGCTGTAAATGGTTGGTGATTGTAATATGCAACTGTGCCTAAATGATGACATGAGAAAAGTAACAAAAACACAGTGAATTTATGATATACATTGAATATTGTTGATTTTTTTTTATAGAAAGACTTTAGAGAGAACTACAAAATATTCAAGAGAAAGGTTGCTTCTTGTGTAAGAAAAAGTCAAGAAGAAGTTTAGGGTTAATTATCATAGGCATTTGGATGGTAAGATTTTCTGTTTTTATTCGTATCTTATGCTGTTTTATTTTGAAGTTAGATTGTAAGACTTCTGGTTTAGCTAGAATAGTATTATTTTGTTAATCCTTACATTCACCACAAGTCTTCAAAGTTTAACAGTTGAAAATAACACAATCACATCATCAATTAGCAGCTGAAGGATGAAAAGTTAAGTAAGTTACCAAAAATTTAGCTAGTAATTTTAGTGTTCCATCCTTTCTTGTTATGACCCTTGCTTTGTCACTAACCAGAGAATGTTTCAACTGTTTTCAAATTATGATTACCATTGGTGCATAGTATCACTGAAGACAAAAAAAATAGTTAATCTGTAAAATATATTTAATAATGTGATGAACACATAAAAAAAATCCTCCATTTGATGGGGAAACAAAAGGCATCTTAGCAGAATTTTGCCTAGGCTGGACTTCTTCAGGTAGCTAATCATTATTTGACCACTTTTTCTTTCCCAAAATATTTTGTTTAAGAATACTTACTAATGTAACAGTCAACATTAATTCATTCATTGATGAGTAATTACTTTAAAATGTGTTCTCAATTGTTTTAAATAAAAGTGTGTTAAGTTTTTATTATTTGTAATTTGGGATTATAATTCTACCCTAGTTGTAGACTACCATTTCTTACAGTATTAATGATTTCCATTCTTGAATATGATGTATAAGGTTGTTACTGAAACTGTGTATTTAAATATGTATTTGTTTATTTAGAAAAACTTGAAGTAATTCATTTGTTTCATAAACACTTATTGATAATTTTAAGTGTATCCAATAGCAATAATAAAGATTTGATAAATAATGGGATTGTATGCTCTTCTTGAATGCACTCGTGTAGGAATCGTTACTTGTTTATGGTATATAAATTGGTGTATTTAATGGAGTTTTACCTGCACTATTCAAAATTAACCAGCAGTACAACAAATGTTAGAAGAGATATATTTCATTAGTGCTTCTTCAACATTAAGAGAATTTTCATTTAAAGTAGAGTAGCTAATACAGTTGATTTTTTTAAATTTATTTTGTGATCAGTTATTTCATTACTTATTCAGCAGTTAAAAGTAGGTTCTAATAATTTTATGTATTTAAAATAAGATTTGTTATAACTACATTATTATTTGTTTAACCTGTTTTCAGTTATTACTTGGTAATTTTCAAAATTTGTATGGACAAAAGAAAGAGCAGTGAAGATAATGGATTGCAGATATAATATTCTGTTTGTTTTTGAAAACAGTGTTAGTGTATTAAATGTTAAAGTTTTATAAGCTGTTATTTTCCCATTTTTTTGTTATTGTCCTCATCCCCTCATATTAATTCTCTCACCATGGGCAGGCGAGACTTTTTGGAGAGTTGCATTCAAGATTTAATTAAACTACTTTCTTATAGTGATATACAAATAAACTTGGCATCATAATGTAGTTGTTAAACCAAATTTTAATATTATACAAGTTGTAGGTTTTTAATTGTATCTAAAGAAATGTTTAAAACAATCTTTAATCTTCCCTAGTATGAGAATTGACATTGCTTTCTTGGTCGTTCTCTTCTTTACCACTATTCCTAGAAGTATGAAATGTAATATAAGTCACTCATTATAATATAGTTATTATTTAGTCAAAACATAATCATTGCCACTTTCAGTCTTATTTGTTTATGGAAGCATAAACTATGTTCTCTTTGATGTTAAATACTATATTATTTATAACCAATAGAAAGCTAAAGATTTAATTTGTCAAATTATGTATAATACCACATTATTTTCTGTACAAAAAATTGTCTATTTGACTTCCAGTTCAAGTTTTATTCCTACAGGAAACATATCAATGAGCTTAGCTAAAGTTTTAATAGGTATTTTCACATAGTTAGAAAGCCAAACAAATTGTGATAACTTTAGGACATTGTCTGCTTTTTACATGTCATTATTCTGTGTTCTTAGGTGCATTATTTAATTAAATAAAAAATTTTGTGTAGTAGTACCATTAGCATATAAAAAGTAAGGTTAATTTTCAACAACAATTGACAGCAAAAAACAAATGAAGATTCAGGTAAGTACTATGTTTCTTGTTTTTCCTGTGCATTCTTTATTTATTATAAAAGTAACTAAAATATAAAAGTTAGAAACTATCAGGATATATTAGTTAAAGAAAAAATGATAATAATTAAAATTTGGTATAAGGTATGATTGCGAGTAGCTCATGGGTTACGTGATTCGATAGAGTAACATGAGCTACACATTCACTAAGTGATTTACAATTTGTGTGGTGGGATTATTAGTTGGACATGGTTCAAAGGGCAATAAAATGATAATTCAAGCACAAACAGGTACTATTAGAGTTTAAAATTACTTGGGATAAACAAGTTTCATGTTACAATTTGAAGTCATGCTAAAAAGAAAAAAGGGTAATTTAGATTTATTTAGTTTTTTTTTCTTTTGGTGGTTATGAGGTTGATCAAATTGACTAACTTTGTATAGAGCTACGGTAGAGAAAATAACAGATAACATACAAGTTTTACTAAAAAACGTTTACAATTTATTTAGGAGGTTTTAGAAATTACACAAATGTAGTTTGACAATTTTCAGATAAAGAAAAGTGTCTTAAATCTTGACATAAAAATCACTTTGCACTCGGAACAATTAATACATTGACTTCATACATTCACTGAGTAATTTTTATTAAAAATACTTCATTAAAAGTTCAGATTTTTTTTTTTTTTACCTTTCATGCTTTTTCGTTTTGTTATGGAAATTTTTGTTGCTGTAGTTTATATATATAGTTTAAGCTTCAGGTAGTTGCTATTATTCAATCCTAAAGCACACATAGCATTATTCTTCTGTTTATTTCCTTTAAGTATTTATTATATGGATTTAAGACCCTTGGGCCATCTATTGTGATGGGCTATACAGGAAAAGCCCACTCTTGCATAACTCCTCAATTGTGATGTTGAAATCCATAACATCAACAATGAGGAACTTTATGTTAAAGATGAGAATGAAGATAAGAACAAGGGGACTAATCAGCACTTGAAGTTTGAGCAATGTATACAAGATGATGAAAACAAATTGGTGTATGATATCCCAAGGTTAAATGAGATTAGGAGGACTGATTCGGGGACTCCTATGAATAAAGACTGTAAATATATGTATTCAAGAGGAGATGAATACCACAAAGAAGTAGATCTGCTAATGAAAGAGGAATTAAACAACTGTGTGAAAGGTTTCTTGGTTATGTTTTCACAAAATCCTCTGATAAAACCATCATGAGGGTTAAAATACCTACATGTGATAAAAAACGAGAAAATTGAGAGGTATTTGAGTAAGCTGTGCTAACACTGAAGTCAGAAGAATATCTGATTATGATTATAATACCATGGTAGGTGAAGGTATAAACAGCATTCCAGTGTGGCCACATGATGAAGAATGGAATGAGAGAGGAGATCAGTTAGTACAGTTTTGTGAAGAGAAAGACTTGGTGATAAACAACACTTTGTTTAAACATCACTCTAGGCATGTTTACCTTAAGGTGACTACTGGATGGTGAAAGGATTGTGTGAAAGCAGACTGTGACTTTGATCACATCCCACTGAGCAGACAGATAAGATTAAAACTAAATAAGCTGAATAAAGTCCTTATGCAGGGCAGAATGGGACTTGGAACATTTAAAGAAAAAAAACATAACCAAGAACTTTGATAGATAATAAAAACTTATTTAAAATATTAATAAAAGAAGAACTTGCAAACAAGGATGCTGAGTACCAGCTGGTACCTGATGATGACAAAACCTTGTCGAAACATTTTACATTTGCTGTTATGTTAAACTTATATCAAAGTTTTTCTTCATTATCCATTCAAGTCATCTCCAACCGTTACCAGCAGGTTAAGTCAGTTGAATACTTCTTGTTAGGAATAAAATTATTTTTCAAATCACATGCAAAAATGAATACACAAGATTTGACAAACAATATTGATATTCATAGAAAAAAAATAAATGTCAAAGCTCACTAGATGGAGGAATTATGTTAAACATTTAACAAAGATATGAGTTATGTATGTTAGAGTATGATAAATGTTGTTAGAGAACCATATTTTGAGAAACTGGTACTCAAAGCAGGCAACCTAAGATGTTGTAAGAGGGGAGGAGAGTTCCAACTGACTTCTGCTTGCACTACTGATAAATTTATATTTCTTTTCTTTTTATATATATAACTACCAATAATTTTAGTGATAAATTCATTATAAATTCAATTCTGGTAATGTGATGGATATAAAAATAAAAGCAGTTGGGAGACATACTTTGCATATGAGCTTATTTTGGACATCAACAATATGAAAAGATCTATCTTGCAACTAGTCTAACTTCTAAATGATGAAAAGTCGATTTTATAATAAGTATGTTATAAGAGTTGTAGATGTCTTAAACACTGCTGACATTGAAGACAAATCTCTGAAGTCTGGAGCACACACATATTTACTGAGTGCATGAAAAAAAGTCTAGGTGCAAAAATTTATCACAACAATGTGGAATTGACATTTATACTGTTGTATTCATTTAGTTATTAGCTGAGGCTATAACTGGGTTGATGTAGACTCCAGCTGAAATTTTTTTTACAGTAATTAATGAACGAATCCGATAAAAACACTGACTACTAATATTTGTTTTTAATACTATAGGCTGGTTATTAATTTCCAAAAATAGATGGGAAAGGGGGTGGTTTTGATACCCTCCCCTAGATCCATGCCTGCTTATACAGATCTGCACCTGCTAATATAACATTAAAGAATTCAGTTATGCAATTAGAAATATAACACAGTGTAATAAAACAGTAAGTTTACACTTTATTTGACACTTAAGTATCTAGAGAGTTGGTGGTGAGTGCTACAAGCTAATTGCTGTCCCCCTTTACTCGGTAGTTTAAAATTAGTGATAGTCGCAGCTAGCCTTAATAGTTTTGAAATAACGAAGACAGGATGAGCAAACTTAGTGGCAATAGGAATTGAACCCAAGACCCCCAAATTATGAAGCATCTCCTCACCTGTCCATTATGTAGTTTTTGAGTAACAACAAAGAAACATGCTATCAATATTTTGATTATTTGGATAGTTGGAATAACTGAGAATAGTAAATAATAGAAACCCTAATGTCCATTATGTTATTATTTTGATAACAGTAGATTGATTGATTGTTAGAAAAATAAAAAAGTAATTGAAGCAACTGATTTCGATTGTTTTTTGTTTTTTTTCATGACAATTGATTAATTAAGTTGCCTAGCTCTAATTTTCCAACTATCAGAATAATCAAAATATCTCAATTTGTTTTTTGTTGTTAAATACAAAGCTACACAATGGGCTGTCGGTGCTTTGCCCACCACTGGTATCGAAACCTGATTTTTAACATTATAAACGTTTTTTTTGGTAATGGCTTGTTGAGCCTTGGACCACCATGGCTTAGTGATTAGAGGGGTAGCTTCATGATTTGAGAACCTTGGTTCCAATATCCATTACCACCAAATTTGCTCATGCTTTTATCCATTGAGGCATTAATTTTGTTTTTGAGTTATGGCAGAGTTATTTAGGCTGTCTGCTACTGTAACTAATTTTGAACTGCCAACAAGAAGGAAAGTAACTGTTTAGTAGCACCCACCATCAGCTTTTGAGCTGCCTTTGTGTTAAATAAAGTGTTAAGTTACAGTTTCTTTATATTGTGTTATGTTTCTAATTTATAATGTTGAATAAGGAATACAGTCTGTTTTTACATAGTGATTTATAATCTGTATAATTTTATTGTTTAGGGTCAAATAAATTACAAATTTACTTTTTCTACATTGTGCATGTGTGATGTTTTAACACAACATCTCTTACTTTCCTGAATTTGTGTTCTGGTTGAAGTTGTGATGGGCACTGGCACATCTGGAACCTGCAGTGTTCTGATAATGAGACAAACATTTGCAAAACTGTATTCTTTATTCATTTAGTCATTCCAGTCTTTTAACCATGTGATAAATTACAAATGTAAGTGTAATAATTGATTTTCAGTGAGCAGTAACAAGATCAATAATTGATTCTTGCAGTTTTTAATGATATATTAATCTAAGATGACTATTTTCTAAACCACAAAAACCAAATACACTTTTATATTTGGACTTGTTACCACAATTCCAGATGCAGGAAGTACTGGAGGAGCTTGCTGTATTAGTGGCAGTTGTATTTCTCTAATGTGTTTATCTGTTTTAAAAAATTTTTGTTGTTGTTGTTGTCTTTAAAAAGAACAAGAAAATGTTCTGTGACATATTCAATGTCGTAGCTTTGGCAACTATGACATATTTAAACTAATAGTAACAACTGTGCTACCCGGTGATAATCTGCTTTGGCTGAGTGTCGAATTAGGCATCTAAGCCATAATCTTTATGGCAGCTAATGTGGTATTGAACATTACAGTCAATAATTGGTTTAGTTATAAAAAAAAACGAATTCCGAGCAACAAAAACTGACTGCTCAATGAAAGTCGGTGATTCAGAGAAGAATATGGGTTAATAACGGGCATGGCTTGAGAAGTGGATTTCTAGGGAAGTTGGGGGTTGTGAGAACAATAGGGGTTAGGGTTTGAGAAGTTGGAGCTAGGCATTGAAAGTAAAAATGTTGGTGATTATTTGTTAAATGGAATAAACGTCAATTTTTGTGTGTTTCTTTGGGGGGGGGGCAAGGGGAGAATCCACCCCCGGCCAAAGCTTAGTGACCCGGTATTTGGCCAAATTTTACTACCCCTGCATCCATAGTAATGACATATTCCTAATGCAGAGTTCATAATAAGTATAAGAAATGAAATAAAATAGTACTTGGAGTATTGTTTTCGAATTAAGAACACTTTTGAGGACATTTTGCTTCTGAGATCAACATTTCTCATCCAAGAATGTATAGTCACTCTATATTAGTTTCATTAATGTAACAAAATAAAAACACAACATATAAATGTTTAGTTGATTTTACCTCATGAAATAGAGAATAATATAAAAAGATTCTTTGTGATGTGTATAAATAGGCTTTGATTGCAATAGAGCCTTCATGGGGCCCAGGGGAAAAGTTTTTGCAGTAATCCACTGAACCTGAAAAAAAAGGCCCCAACCTAAAATACTTATTTCCTTTTTTTTTTTTCATAAATATCCAGGGAACACAAACAGGCATTTACATGTTTATCAGTCAGTGACATTTTTGACCACTGCAATTAGTATGAACGAGTTTTGTAATGAATCATCCAAAAAATGCAACTTTTATGGGAACTAACTCTATATTTTATTGAGCAAAAGCCTACATTATAATGATTGTAATAAATTTATATTAAAGATTTTCATGTTTTAATTCCATCATTAGTTATGGGTATATATCCCATGTTCCTTGTACAGAGATATATCTTAACATGCAGGTGTTTATACACCTCATATAGCCATGCTTTTGCATGTTATAAAGAGTGACAAGAGAATTGTCTCTTGTTCATTTCAAAATTTTTGCAAATAGCAAATTAAGTACTAGTACTGAAGCTGCATAGACAAAATATCAATTGAAATAAACTATAATCAAAATGTGATGTTTTTAAAACATGCAGATAGTGCAACACTCAGAAATAGAACGTACAAAAAGTGTGAACTTTTTTTGGGGGGGTATAAGTTTATTAAAATGTGTTGTCTGTGGATAGTTTGTTTGCAAACTTGGGATTTATTTTGTCTGGTGGAAAATATTAATGTGTAGAATTATACACAATTCCATAAATTAATTTTCTTTCATTACAACTTTAGTTTAGGAATTCAACAATACCAACATATTATTGTGGAACAGAAGTATGAACACCTTACAAAAAATTTTTATTAATGTGAATTTTGGTAGTTTGTATTAAAAAGTGAGTAATTGATGTTTATAAATGTATGGTTCGTGTTAATGAATGATAATTCTGTAAAGAACTATTAAACATTATGAATCTGCAACACACTAAAATCAAAAGTAGTACATAAAACATTATTGTGACTTGTTATGTAGATATTTTCTAATGATCAGGGCACAGAAGTTGACTGACTCAAAGGGAAAAATTTCAAACAAATGATTTTATTAGACTGAAATAGATATAAAAAAATGCATACTGTAGGGAGAGAGTACAATATTGAAATGTAAGAAATTAGGCTAAAATATTTATTGCAGTAAAGTTTTTTATGGCAAATTGTGCAATGATCATTGTTTTGCTTTCTGTGAAAAAGTTTTCAAAAGTTAATTTTATTGTAGTGTTTGGGGAATATTGGGGAAGAAGACATATCTTTGGTTTGTGAAGTACTAGATTTTAAAATGGTATCCTTTTATAGTGTAGAACTACAGTAGTACTGGAAATCCTGTATGCTGTCTGTATGAACTATCCTGCCAAAGTAAACCATGTAAATACTGGAAGAAAGTCCCCTTGCAGAGCAGCCATGACCCTGACCAGAACCGTGCCTTTGCCATCTGACAGGATGTACAGCTAACAGACCAGTTGCAGTTCTTCTACATCCAACTGTTTTTTGTTTTGTTTTTTAAACTTCTTTATTGTACATTTCTCTATATTTTAATTTGTTAGCATTTATTTGTTTTTGTCATGTACAAATGTGTTCACTTCTTGTATTAACCATTGTACTGAAATGTTGGCAGTGTTAATCTGCACACTGAATACAAGTAATTATGAATCCATTGGATATGGTAGAACAGTCAGTCTTGTTACTTTGACACATGTTAACTGTTATAGTGTAAACTTCAGCATTGGAATTAGTCATCAACCAAGCAAGGATGATACTGTCTTTATGTAGACAGCAGTTCCTTCAGTAAGTAGATGATAATGTTAGTATTGAGTCATACATTAAGCATCTTGTGAAAATATGGATAATATCAGTCTTCAGATCCCCAATTTGTTATGAGTATTGTTACATGTAAATTACAAAGGAACCTATTAAGTGAATTATTCTTCAAAAAGTGATATTAGGTATTTTTACATAACAGGTTAGTAAACTAGACAATATTGACATATAGTTTTTATTAAGTTAGCTGAAATTCAGTATATTTGTTTAAATAAAAGTCCAGAGACACACTGTTTTGTGCAGATTATATATTTTTTAAACTAATGTTTCTACCATGTTGATATCATAAGATAAACTTTTGTCTATTGTATAAAATATTTGAAAGTCGTGTGAAAATTTTGTTTCTATTTAGAAAACATATAGGGTTACATCTGTATTTTGATTTAAATTAGTAGGTTTAGGTCATGAATAATTAACAACTCTTTTGTTTCTTTTCAAATAATGTTGTTTCCATTACATGACATTTTATTTGTTGCATCATGTTTTACCTATACAAGTGCTACTGCATCAATTGCATTGTTATTTGTAGATGCTTCCATTGTTGTAGTTGTTTGAATAAACCTTCCATATATGATCTTTGATTTAGTCCTCAGTCTTTTAATGAAAATAATGTTGCTGTTTAGATTGTGTATTTTTTTACACTTGTTTCCAAATGTTTATGGTGTTTTTTGTTACATAGCTATGGTATGGTAAGACACCTATAAGTGTCTTGAGTTTGTGCATTTTGTTTCCTTCTTGGAATTTATGGTGTTTTTCCTTTCTTTTCTGTTATATGTATATTTGGCTGATGTTCTAGTGTCAGTTTAGGTAACAGATGTTTGTGTAATAAAGTTATTGGATATTGAATCTAGTTCATGTTGCAGTTTACTACTACTACATATATTAAATGCTGTGTTGTAAATACAAGATAATATGCCAATTTTTATTGAGTCTAGTGGGCTGAGTCCCACTTTATGTAATTGTTATCATTGCCAGGTTTGTAGTAGATTTTGGTGTTAGTCATTAGTGTTTCTATTGTTGTGTTCATTTGATTTAAAACAGTTTTCACTTTCTGCTTCTTAAGTGATATTCATGTCAGCATGAAAGTTGGTTACATGTTGTAGAAATGATTGTTTATGGTTATCTTTATATCCACAAAATACATTGTTGATGTATCTATGTCATTGGACGGGAGGGTGTAGAGCTGTGTTCACAGCCTTTCTATTTTGTTAATTAACAATATGCATAATCCAGATGATAAGCAGCTGCTCATGATTAGGCCATCTAGTTGCTCATAAGTTTTACCTTGACAGGTAAGACATGTTTTCAGTGCAAAGTGAAACAAATCTTTCAAATTTTCTAAGTTCAGGTTATGATCCAATTTGTCAGAATTATTTTATATAATTTCTAGAGCTAGGTTTGTTGCTTCTTCTTTCGACATCATTGTATACATTGAGAATATATCGAAGCTGTACATTTTGTGATGATTATTAAGGTTAAGATTTCTTTTAACCTTGTATTTATTGTTGCAATGTAATGGTTTAATTGGAAGCTCATAATTATAGCTGCCAGAAGTGGAAGGATGGGACAGATGTCAGTTTGTTTTTTATGAATCTTGGAGCACCAAACAAACAAGGGTTAGGTGTGTTAATGACTCTTTAGTTCATGCAATAGACAACTGTTTACCTGATGATGACCACATGAGTGGTAGAAATGTTATAAAGTTCAAAAAATAAAATAATCCACTCAAAAGGCTGTGTCTCTTAACTTTTATTTAAAGTATACAGTGGATTTCCTCTCCTTACAATAAATTAGTTATTTGTTGGAACTATAAATAATGGATACACACATTAAAATATCATCTTACTGCTTACTTAAACTAATATGTACAGTTGAAATGGAACATCTGATGAACGTGATAGTAACTTGATGTAGATGGTACATGACTGCTTTTTAGAGGCTTCTGAATTTATATCTAAGATATAAATTTTTTAAAAGTAACATTTTGTAAACATGATCTTATCATATGATGTATTAACATGAGATACATTATTATATAATCTTTAATTAAGGAAGTGATTAATACTTGCTGCAATCTGACAACATTTTAAAGAGTTTCATAAAAAGTACTTTATACTTAAAAACAAATGAATTTGCAGGAAACCCTGTGCTCCATGTAACTGTAATACTGATTATCAATTTATCTGCATTATGGTGTATATATTATAAAAGAAATGCCAGATTTTAGCTATGTTGTTTAAATTACTGTAAAGTTACTTCCACTATAGTGTAGAAGTGCTTGCAGAATTAATATATCAACTAATATTCTATATAATGCTGGTAGTATTTTCAGAGTGTAGAATTCATCTATGAAGTCTAAAACCATGAACCTGGAAAAATGTAGGCCCTCAACATTTTTTATTTTCAAATCACAGAACCTGCATATGCACACAAACTATGCTGCTTAAGTATGCCAGTTATTAATGTATTTTATCATAATCCTGGTCAGTCAAGTTATTTTATCTGGTAACAGTTATCTAAGTCATTATATTTGATGATAGCATATATCAACTAATGTGTTAAATAAAAATGCAACATTTTACCTCCTGCCATCAAGTTGCAATGTCTTTCTTTGAAGATTTTTTTTTCTATAATCTAAAGTTTGTTTTTGAAGTTTATATTGTCCTTTTTAGCCATATAACAACCGAAAATAGTACTGATTAGGTAGAAGTATGAGGAAAAGTTGATTTATGTGTGTCATATGCAGGTCTGGAATATTGGCATTTTGCCTGGAAAAACATGAACATCCTGATATAATAATAATAATAATGCCATGGTGTCAGGTTTTTTTCATGTATCAACTATAAATTTTGGATCAGTTTATACCATTTGATGTTATAATAGTATCATGTTTCAGTGTTTAGATGCTGGTTTCTTGTACAATCTATTCTGCTACATGTTTTAATAGTGTCAAATTTCAGACTATACTAGATTTTCTCAAATGTCACACGGTAATTTAGAAATAATTTTATTTTTCAATGCTGGATTCTGAATTGGTGTATCAGTCGTAGAACTGAAACTTAATTGGAGGTGGGGGGGATCAGGATAAAAGCATATGTGGAATACATATCACATCGATTTTGTTTTTATTTCTAGTTTTAAACCAAAACATCAAACAACTGTCTGCAAACGTTCCATCTTATATTTGCGGTGTGCTTTTCTGATGCAGGTTACACCAGAGACCAAGAAATAAAGACCACCACCAAAACACACACACACATCGGACTTTTTCTCTTTATTAAAAAACACTGTTTTTGACATTCTGTGGGCTTTGTTGTTGTTATTCTAAATCCTAGGGACTATTAATTATCTCACTGTAGTTTTTTTGTTCTAAACGTTTGTACCGGTACTGACTATTAATGTTAAATATTTCACTATAATGTGTTCAATATGTTAAACATTTGACCTTTGTAGTAACTCTATGATTCCAATAGCATCAGTTTATAGGTACTGGGCCCACTTTGATATTAGTTATTTAGTGGGTGTAAATTGGCACTGACCATCTGATGGGTCATGTTCAGTAAACTTCACGATATAAACCTTAAGGTGTTTGTTGTGATTAAACCGAAAAATATTTTGTATTAAAGAAAGTACAGTTGCAGTTTCCTCAGTGTTTTTTGGGTCCGTTTTATAATGTGAGGATAAGCAGAAAAAATCACGAAGTGATACAGAATTTACTAAACGGACAGAATTTTATGCTAAAAGTAAAGAGACTACATAACGTGTAATACAGAACAATATTTATCACTGCTCCAAAACACCGTATGTGTGGTTATTGTTGAAAACTGGACAAGTTTCCTTTCATTGGACTCGTGAATTAATCTTTTTCTTTTCCGTAAAGATGTCTCCCCGTCAATAACTCACGTGAAATCTCGTGTACCACTGTTTAAGTACAAGATTTCTTACTCGTTGCAAAATGTATTTACCCATAGAAAGTAGTGCGTGCCACATAACTTGTCATTCTTATTCAACGTGTGGAAGGCCAATACCTCAAGATGTCATGGAAGGACACTGATGTCGTCTATGTTCATGTGCAATATTCAGCATTATAGCAATACCCTCACAAGAAAAAACATATATCTAGAGAATAAGATATATAAAAAAAAAAGTCCATCTGGGACGAAATCAACGGTTTTCTGAACCACATGCAAAAACTGCATAGATTCAGAATAAATGAACATTTTTTTTAAACTTTCTCTCACCCTCTAAATGGTTACACAACTTAATCAAGAGACGACAGCTTACAAGTTTAAAGAAATTAAAACTTACTAAATTCTCGTACAAGACAATGAAATAATAAATAGAAAACTTTTGATAATACATCAAGATATAATTGAAACTTTGAATAATGATGTGACAAATACTCAGAAATTTCAAACTAAGATTGCAAGCACAGAGAAATAAAATGCGCTTAAATTCAGAAAACCATATATATAATTAAGTAAACCACAAACAATTTTATAAACCGATCACATCTAATAGAATGATAACTTGAACTCTGCACAGCATGTCCAAACTTTATATTAAATATAAATAAATTTAATATTGTATAGAAGAAAAATTATATAAACGAAAAATATGCTTTGGAAAAATAAGACTCGTATACAAAACAATGTGGGTCATTATGTAATGTACTGTTGCGTCGGGGAGGTCACGTGACTAGTGTCACGCCACGTTTCTAGAACTATCCTGTTCCTTTGGGAGTGCTCTAGCATTTGTTAGATTGGGGGTAGGCTGGTATATATAAGATGGTCACGGCGTGACGTGATAATGTGTGTGTAGGTAGTGAGTAATTGAACTGCAGTCAGAAAGTATTGTTGAAGTTAACGTTCGTTGTTGAAATAAGTGTATAGGTAACGTTATATTCAGAAAGAATAAACCAGTTTTATTAAGAAAGGACTTGTGTCGCTAAAGTTTCATGGGAACGAAGTTACGGAAAATCAACTAACGACTGGAGACTTAACAAACTGGTGTCAGAGAATGGGATAAAAAAAAATGGAAGCGGCAAATCAAACTACAGCCTAGCAGACTTAATGGCAGCAATACAAGAACAGCAAAAGAAACAAGAAGAACGAGAAGAGAAATTACAACAGTTGTTAGAGGAAAAAGAAAAGAAACGAGAAGAGAAATTACAACCACTGGAAATACTTGGACAGTTGTCGGCAGATGACAGGCACAACTATAGAGCACTGGTAGCGGCTCTAGAACTCAGGTACAGAACCCAAAATCAGTCAGAAAGTCTACAGGGCTAGGTTCAGGACGAGAGTCAGTGCTAAAGGGAAGAGCTGGCACAGGACTTGGAAAGCATGGCACACAAGGCCTAACCAACTGCACCACCAGATCTCCTCAAGTTGTTGCTGAGGGATCAGTTCATAGATGCCTTGGACAGTCCACAACTTAAGATACAAGTGGAGCAAGCACACCCCTCTACCATGTAGGATGCAATGGCCAGAGCTCTCGAATTTGAATCCTTTGTTAAGTCCAGCACAGAGGTACCGAGGTTGGTACAGCCATCTGGATTCAAGGCCAGAAAAGGGCAGTTTTCAGAGAAGTTTGAGAGACTTTACTGGCACTGTAACAAACCTGGGCACAAGAGAGCTCAATGCTGGAAACTTCAATCCAGGGAAGATGCCACGACAGGAAAGGCTATTGGAACTGTGGAAAGCAAAGGCATATGAGGAGCCAGTGTAAGAAAAATATTACCAACAAGTCCGCCTCAAGGAGACCAGTAGTGGTTGGTGTTGAGGGACACTCACCAACCCCCATCATGAAAGTCCCAACAGCTAGGTGTAAAATGCCAAGCACACACAGTGTCTAGGTGACAGGAAAGCTGGATGGCCAAAGGTGCAACTTTGTCATAAATTCTGTGTCTCAGCAAAACCTTGTGAGCATCAAGGGGTTAGATCACAAAGGAGTACCAGAAGCTGTACAGAAGCTCTGTGGTGTGACAAGACATTATGCAAAGTTGTGGGGACCAGTGTGTGTAACTATTGAGCTGATGGGCATGAAGAACAGACACAAAATATACTTGGCTGATATTGAAGATGAATGCATATTAGGATTGGACTACTTACTACTGAGGAAGTTTGTGATTAATTTTGATAAAATGACATTTGGGAACAACAAAGGCCAAGTTCCGTTAACTGTTAAAAGAGAGGTTGAACTAATTAGGTGTCAAAGTGACTGAAGGAGTTGATGATGGTGAAATGGAACCAGGTATAGATGTTAAATCAGAGCATGAAGCCACTGGATACACTCCAGCAAAGTTGATGTTTGGTCGTGAACTTCGGTTGCCAGTGGATCTGTTAACATGACACCCACCTTATGAAAAGTTGCCTGAAAATGTATCAGAGTTTGTGAAAGTGTTATCAGAAAGAATGGATGATAATCACCATCAAGTACGTTCAAACTTGAAAACGTCTGCTGATTCGATGAAGTTATCTTATTGTTACGACAGTGGGGGTCACGTGACGAGTATTCTAGAAGATTCGCTAGTGTGTTACGACAGCGGGGTCACGTGACGAATATTCTAGAAGATTCGCTAATTTGTTGCGACAGCGTTGCGTCAACTGACACTGGTAGCACGTGTTGAGAGTTTTAGAAGTTTCTAGAACAGGCAGTATTATCGTATATAAGTGCGCTAGACACTGAGAGAGACATTCGGAATCGAAGCAGTAGTGGAGACAGAGATGAGGCAGAGAGAAAGAAAGAGAGCGATTATGGTCGGCGGGAACCGAGGATAGCAGACACAGAGATCGGAACTATAGTTGGCGGGGACGGACAATTAAGTCTAAGTGCAATAGAAAGTGAGTGAATTGTTGTGAACTATAGTGTGTGTGTAACTGTGAAAATTAAGAACATTACAATGTTGTATTGATGAAGAATAAACAAGTTTTATAAAGAAAGGACTTGTATCGTAGAAAAATTAACAAACAAACCCTACAGAGACGTAACATTATGATAAGAGATCTACTGAAGTCAGCTTTGTACCAGGAGATAAGGTGTGGTTGTATAATCCCAGGAAGACCAAAGGGAAGTCTCCTAAGTTGTCTTATCCATGGAAGGCCCATATGACATTGTGGATTGTCTCGTGACTTTCCGAATAAAATGTGGTCGGCGATGTAAGCCAAATGTGATGCATGCCAACAGGCTTTGATGTTATCACAGTCCAGGACACTTCAGTTGGAACGAAGTGAACAAAGGAACAAATGACGCTGCTGAAGAAGT